TATATATACAATATTTTATTTTTGTATAAATTGTCGCTTCACATCAAAAAAGGCGAGCTCAGTGAAGCAGGCCCTCGTCGCTATTTGTCGCTGCACGCTATCCAAAACACTGCTGGCAGCATAAAACCAAGAACTCCACCTATTTTGCAAAACATAGCCAAACCGAGCATAATAAAAAAAGGACGGTTTTTTTAGGTCAATGGACAATATAGACATAGTCTAACAATAATGACATAACACGATTCATACAACCGAGCCCAACTGATTTGGGATTAAAGCGTAGTTAATTGATCAATACCACAAACCAAGGCCCTAGAAGGTAACTCAAAGGTAAAAATTAACTAAGAGTATGTGATGATGTCTTCTGAACAAACTTGATGATTCAGTGGTACGCCTTCTCGATATTCACCTGATTGTTATTCCAATTCAGTGATTAGTTTATGTGACCAACGAGGTTTTTTTAATAAGTAACTGTAGAAATTTTCTTGACCAACAAGAAACTTTTTTACTAATTCATTTCATTCCAATAGAAATTTTTCAGACTGGTCCATTTAAATGAGTCCATCCTAATTTAGTGGAATAAAATAATCAAAATATCCAGCTAACCACATAAACATTGCGTGACAAAGTACATCTTGGACATGTAGGTTACGGTAACTGAGTAACAACAATAAGTAATTACCAACATATTATTGAAACTTTATTGAAGCAGGACAGAGGCAAGGAAGTCTAAGAAACGAAAACAGAGAAAAGGAAACAGAGAAACCATACTTCTGATACATGATAGTTTTGATGTTGAAGCCAAGGGTCGGACTGATGACACTTGTGTCTTCCCCATTTATTTTCAAAACTATGGTTGTTTTACCAGAGTTGTCAAGACCCCTATAGGAAAAACGGAAAAACAGAATTAAACAAAGAGTAAATAAATAAACAATGCATACATAATTCCCAAATGCCACAGGTTAAGAAGTGTTAGCTCGTAGACTTACACCATAAGGATGCGCATTTCCTTTTCTTTTCGCTTGATCTTTCGAATAATGCTGAGAAGTCCCATCGTGGTTGCTCCTAGTTTCCTAGGAAAAGTTTGACATTCATTATTAGAAGTTGACATGTAGCATAACGTGACGCCCCAATAGATCGTTTTGAATACTAGCTTCTTTTTCTATGTTCCGAGACCTCCTGTAGCTTTATTTGATGATTCATGACTTGCGTGCGTGGTCCGTGTCATTTTCCGGAAAGTTTATATGTGAAATTTTGAAGAAAATGTGATTTTTGTCTTAAAATGAGGTTAGAGTTAACCACGGTCAACGCTTTTGGTAAACGACCTCGGATCGGTATTTTGACGATTCTGGTAGGTTCGTATAATGATTTGGACTTGTACGCATGTTTGGTTGGGGTCCCGGGTGACCCGAGGGCGTTCAGACGCATTATGTGAAAAATTGGAAAAATGAGTTTCAAAGTTGAAATCTTGAGTTTTGATGATCGATTATTGTTTATTTCTATCAGTTTTACTATTGATTTCGTTTCGAACAGATGTATTTTATTTCAGACCCTGTTTGTAGTACTTTAGCAGCTCATGCACTTGTGACACCAGTTTCTGGGGTTAGACTAGACAACGTATATGGATTTATTATGTATTTCAAAGTATTTCAGTTTTATTTCTTAATAATCTGCTTTTAAAATTGTTAAATTGAATAACTGTTTAGCTAATGTTGGCTTGCCTAGCAAACAGATGTCAGGGCCCGTGGTTGGGATTTTTGGGTCGTGACACACACTAAAAATACAACAACAATAACATACCCAGTATAATCCCACATAGTAGAGTCTGGGGAGGGTAGTGTGTACGCAAACCTTAACCTTACCTTGTGGAGGTAGAGAGGTTGTTTCCAATAGACCCTCGGCTCAGGCAAGCATAGGTACCCCAATAATAACAAGAAACAAGACGGGACAACTCCAAAAAATCATGTAAAAGCAGAATACATAACAAGATAGTAAGATAGATCAAAATGCAAAAAGCCTACTACCAACCAAATGCGAGAGTACGTACTAACACTACCGGTATGAATAACCTAGACTACCTAACCTACTATCCTAATCTTCGACCTCCACACCTTCCCATCACGGGTCAAGTCCTCGGTCAGATGTAGCTGTGCCATGTCATGCCTATTCACCTCACTCCAACTCTTCTTCGACCTACCTCTACCTCTCATAAGGCCCTCCAATGTCAACATCTCCCACCTCCTTACCGAGGCGTATGTGACATGCACTAAAAATAAGACAAGTAATTAATTTGTCACAGTAGTGATGTCCAATGATATGTTTTGGCTCATTATATAATATATAAGGGAAACAAACTACTATGTGACAGTAAATTCTCTCCGCTAATTTTTCATTTTTCTTTTTCATCTTTCATAAAATATCAAATGAGGTAGATTAGTTTTCCTTCTCAGAATCAATCCAAATATACAATACTTAAAACAGTGACCTAAAGGATCAAAAAGATCATTCCATTAGCCATTGAACATATTGCTCTTCGATACCATTTGCAAAAAATGTAACAAAAATCTTTCTTTTCCCCTCCCCTCCCCCATGTAAAAGCAAGTTAGAAAACATCTGTATTTGGTGACGGTAGAAAAGTGAAAGATCTTCCGGACCTTATAGTTTTAGAGAATAAAACCAAAAACAACCCCAGTTTTGATGGATCAATGAGGCATAGAAAGGGAGGCGCAAGAATGTCTCTATAATAACATCTAAGAAAAGCAAAGAAACTGCATTTTGTAGATAATTAAGTTCCAATGCTTTAAGAAACCAAACAAATAACTAGCACAAAATAGATCTGACTAATTCACAAGCAAAATTCCACCACAAAAGGGCAGTTCGTATCCCAAAATTCAGCGCAAAAAAGCTAAAGAAAACATTGATAAACATAAGGGACACACATATGAAAAGAAAAAAAACTAGTAAAAGTGCAGTCATTTCAGTATATCCATTTAAATGCAAGCAAATGAAGAGCACAAAAGCCAGAAAATTAGAAGAAAAATTTGTTTAAGTTAGCAATATTATATCCATCAAAATGCAAGAGAATATAGAACATGGAAAAAAGGGTAAATGAACAAAGGGCTAATGAAAAACCCAGATAACAATATTATGTCCTGATTTTCTGACCATGAAAAGCCAAACATCAAATGAGATACTAAAATTCGAAATATATGTAGCTTTATATGATGGAACAAACACGAGGAAAATCACTGCTAAGCATCCACATCCAGTACCTGATTTCAGTCAATAAGCTTTTCTCCTATAACTTTTCAAGAACCCAAATGGAAAAAAATACTGGATCCTTGAGACTCAGAACATAAGCTTTTTAAGAACCTAATTGGAAAAGGCGGGACGTTTGAGAGTTCTTGGCGAAAAACATCCTTCAATGGGGACTGTTAGGCGTGGCGAGAAACATAGTCTACAAAGAAAGAGGTATGACTATGTGCATAATTACACATAATGTGGAGGAGATTATGAAGACACGAATCACTTGTTCATCCACTGAAAATTCACAAACCAGATCTGGCATATTGTTTTGAATTTGCTTGAATTCAAATCGTGCGTACCAGAATATACAATTGAAACACACATTTTCAATACAAAATAATTAAGAGAAATAAAATGAAATTCTCGTAATCTAAACAAACATATCAACCATAATTAACAGCAGATTTCACCAGCTTAATTCTTTAACAAAGAGAAGTCAGAAAAAACAATGAAAGAACTACGCAAATTTCAAAAAAAAATCCAAAAACTAAAAATGATTTTCGTTCAAACCCTAGTTAAAACCACGCACTTGGGGAAAAACAATTAGAGTAAGTGTTTGGTTAATTCACAAAAAAAGAATGAAGGAGAAATAAGAAATGAATGAAAAGGGAAAAGCCTATAAAGAAATAAAAAAGAAACAAGAAGCCAACCGGTTTCAGGCGGAAGTCAGCGCCGGCGAGCTTTGAGAAGTAAAAATCTTCGCCAGAGCGGAGTTGAATGTATGAGTGAGAAACAGTAACGTGGGAGGTTAATTTTGATCCTCGGATATGTAATTTATTGGACATAATGACAAAAATGATTTGGGGTAGATTTTAATTTAGTCCCTTAAATATACTTATGAGCAACTTGATCCTATTTTTCACATATATTTAATCAACTCTGACGGCTAGATTGACGAAAATTGTGAAAAAAATAAAAGATTTGATAGGAACTTAAGTAAAAAAAAAATTAGTCAGATAAGTACAAATAATAAATTTCAAAATCCTCGATCAAATTATGGTAGAATTCCGAATAAATTTCAAAACCCTTGAACCCATAATGTTCAATTAAAATGTGCAATAATAGTATATAACACACAAACCTCAGATTGACATGCACAAATTTTACCTCAAATGGAGAGCTAAGAAAAAAAATTTAGGACATCAAAAATGTATAAAGAAAAAAGAGGAATAAACGGCAAAAGCTAGGATGATCCAGTAGATACGAGTTGCTAATATTTGAGAACAAATGCAGAATCCCAATGGACAAGCAACTTATTTGAACAACTTCACTGTGAATTGAGGATGATAAAACTTCGTCCAAGGTTTAATTTGAAGCTATTTCTTTCAGATTTGGTATGAGCGTGTTTGTGACGGGGGAGGCAACTTTTTTTTAACTAGTTAGGCCCACACGTTATACTTGCTGTCACACCTCCTTGTTCTACCCGAAGGGGTATATAAGGGAGTTTTTCCAATTAAAGTGACATTAATCGAAATGGGATTATTTTATTTATTTCAAATTCAGAGTCCCCACTTGGGATAATTTTATGGTGTCCCAAGTCACCGGTTTATTTTAAATCCCAAATCGAGGAGAATCGACTTTATTTAAAAGTCTGCGAAACCAGAAATTCTAAGTAAGGAATTTTGTTAACCCGAGAGAAGGTGTTAGGCATTCTCGGGTTCCGTGGTTCGAGCACGATCGCTTAACTATTAATAATTGGCCTAATTATCCGATTAATTACATGTTTTAAACCTATTGTGCATTTTTAAATTTATTATCGCTTTTAATTATTTTAACCCCTTTTTAGGTTTTATGGAATTATTTCTTGAACAAGTTACGACACTTGCCGTTTTGGAACACACCGCAAACCACGCTACATGAAATGCACTCGTGATTTGCGATATGTTTATTTTATTATTATTATTATTATTATTATTATTCTAAGTTGTTATGATCGGGTCACATAAAATGCACACCCGAATTGGGAAATTAAATATCATGACTATGTCACGGGAACCGTACCCATAATCACGATGGTTTATTAATCGCGCCTAAAGCATGCTACGAATGTTCATGGGTTATTTTCCTCAAAAAACTATTCAATTTGGAAAAGAAAAGAAAAGGAGAAGGAAAAACCAATTTGGCCTTGTTTGCTCGCATCTGGGCTTATCTATCTCACGTTAAAGAGGGCCAAAATTAGAGTTTGTACATAAAACTAAAACGGACAAAGGCCTCCATACGGGAGTTTTACATGCTTGCCGAGCTCAATGTAGATTAAATCAAACAATTATAATGGTTTAGAACAAATAAAAGAACCGAGTTGCGAAAGGGATTATCAAAGAAATTTTATCATGTTTATATCATTAATGAAAATAATATATGATCAGAGTAACAAGATTCATATAGTCCTGCAAACAGCCTCCAAATGCAAACTTCACATCTATGTCTCATTCTTTTACACACCATCATTACAAGGAAAGAAAAAAGATCGGATAAAAATTTTACACACCATCATTACTAAATTATATTACCCTCCATACTTAACTTTTAATATAACTATCTTTTATATACCTAATAATTATGATTTATGTACATTTTAGAAATTTTATTAGTATTAATTAGTCTCCTAATTTAACTATACCATATATTCCCACTCCTCCCAAGTTTTTCTCCTCAAATCTCACCCCCTCACCCACGTATCAAATCACACACCACGATTTCTTCTTCAATCACCCACTATTACCCCTTCTAAAACCAGCAAAAAAATTGTAACCCCTCCACCATTGACAACCATTAAAAAGTTTTGAAGCTTTGAATTCGAATTTGTGTTTTCAAAAGACATTATTTGTTTGGATTGGATGTTGTTGCAAAGAATTGAGAATTCTCTCTACGTCTCTCTATCTCTCAATCCCAAATTTCAGTAATATAAAGTAAAGGAAAAGAGAGCACCAATTCCACCATTGATAGCAATTAAAAGCTTTGAAGCTTTGAATCCGAATTTGGGTTTTCAAAAATCATTATTTGTCTGAATTGGTTGTTGTTGCAAATAATTGGGAATATGATTGGAATTTATATCTCAATTTTGAGAGGATTGGTTTTGGCTTAATTTCAGATTGAAACTCGAAGAAGAAAACACTACATGCATTATATTGCAAAAATTGTACAAAAATTGTATTTTGTTGTTTATTTATTTTTCTTTTATTCATTTAACTATTGTATGAAAGTTGAACAATATTGTATAAAAATTGTATTTAAGTGGTATTATATTATAGTTGTATATGACTGAGTAGAAATAACGTACGAAAATTGTAGATAAGTTGTAGATAAATTGTATAATATACAATTAGTTGTATGAAATTTGTTTTTATCATGTATAAATCAGATGCAAAATATACAAAAGACATATTGTATAAAATTTGTATTTAAGTTGTATGTTATTGTAGTTGTATTTAACTGGGTAGAAATAATGTGTGAAAGTTGCATAATATATAATTAATGGTATGAAATTTATTTTTACTATGTATAAATCAAATACAAAATATACAAAAGACATATTATATAAATTTTGTATAAAAATTGTGTTTAAGTTGTATGATATTGTAGTTGTATATAACTGGGTATAAATAATGTATGTAAGTTGTAGATAAGTTGTAGATAATTTAATTTCTTATCTCCAGCTAGATGTTAGTCATCCTCAGCAAGTCTTGGTTTAGCAGAGTTATTTTGGAGGTTCAATTTGTTGTAAACACCAAGAGTAACCCTAATTATCTTCACAGCTCGAAATTTATAAAAATCAAACATAAGTTAGAATCTGCACAAGAATTTTTACATGTATACTGTTCTCGTGATTGGATATCTCATTATATTCCTTTTTGTGAAGCATAATTTGCAATCAGATCACTAATTTTAATTTTATTTATTACTCTACTTGATGCTTAATGTTCTTTTTTTTTCTTTTCTAGTTGTTGATATTTGTAGATCGAGGATGAAAAACGACATATAATATCATGAATTCAAGTGGAAACAGTTTTCAGGCGAAGCAAGAATCTGGTGGAACCAACAACAGTAAATTGATCTCAAAGGCTACTACATCAACAAGTTCAAGGTAGTGGGAAGGCTTTAAAAATCCAAGAATTGTATGTGTATCGCGTACTTTTGGTGGAAAAGGTAGACATAGTAAAGTTTGCACAATAAGGGGTCTCACAGATAGAAGAATTAGACTTCTAGTGCCTACTGCAATTCAATTCAATAAGGGATCGAAAGTTGTCAGTTTTGTGTTCGTTTTAAGAGGAAAGAGAAGAGAAGGAAAAAAAATAGTGTAATTAAATCCCTTAATTGAAGACACTAATAATGGATTTAAAGCCTTTTAAGATGAAATGTATATATTTTATAAACAAAACTTGTATAGGTAGGGTAATTTACTAAATATGAACATTTAGGGTAATATAGTTTACTATGTGGCATAGGAATATAAAAATCCCTATCCAGGGTCTTTAGAAATAGAAAAATCTGATTTTATTAGGTGAATGCTATGGGCCAAATGGGTTGTGGGCTTGGATTGGGTTGAACGAAAATGGGCTGGTGTTTAAAATTAATTGAGGTCATTTTAGGAATTTGGCCCAATTTTAAAAGAAACGAGACCAAAATATAGTCTTCTTATTTTCTTTTTCTTTATTTTTTTCCCCTTTTTCTTTCTTTGATTATAAATACAATTAATTAAAATCCTAAATCAATCTATTTTTGTAGAAATTAAAAATCTTTATCTATTTTTTAACATTAAAACAACTAATTAACTTAAAACTAAAGAAAAATGCTAATTTTAAAGTCTAATATCTAAATATGTAAAAATGACCATTTTTTGTGATTTTTTGCTTAATAAAATTAATTCCTACATGCAAATTGAACCTAAGATGACATGAAATTAAAAAGTGACAATTTTCTATGATTTTAAAATATTAAAAATGCATGAAATGCAACTAAATAAAGAAAAACTCCTAAAAATCAATTAAAATTATTTTGTTCTATTTTTAGGAATTATTTTCATGTAGGGCAGAAATTAGGTGCTCACACTTGCATAGATAAAAAAATCAAATGTGGTATAGATAGCATCGATTAGACTTTCCGGCGCTAATTCGGATTTAATCGGGTCCCAATGCGAGTACCAAATACCGAATGAGAAACCAAAAAAAAAAAAGATACACCAATTAGAGAGAAGTGTCCAGCAAACACAAAAAGACATTATATTGTGCAAAAATATTAGCCATAATTCAAAAGCTATAGTAACAACCATAATCTCATTCAAATATTTTAAAATAAGAAAAAGGGAAATTATAATACGTGCATTCATCACAGTAGTCATTTAATTTCACTAAAATTTATGAACCACAAATCTAATATTCAACATATTCCCCATTTTAATACACAAAATAAACTTTTTTCCATACTAAACTGAAATTTTTTCTATCAAGAAAAGAAAAACTCATGAACTAAATTTATCCAAACGTCTCAAAAGCAGCGGAAAATAGTTATATTCCAATTAAATTATAGCTACAAAAAGGTAAATATAAGAACAATGAAAAAAATATAAAAGCTAAGTGCGCCACTAGGCTAGTGCGACTTTACTATCTTGCACCAACTTCACCGGAAAATGCTGCGAGGCCGGCCTCGACGACATGCAACTACTGTGGGTCTAAGAGATCTAGCAGCGAAGGAAGTAGATAGAGAGCCAGCTGAGAAATCTATGAGAAAGCTAAGAAAATCAATGGAACAGTAACAGAAAAACTAATGGAACAGTGGCCAGATTTAGCAAAAGG